AAGAAATCTATGAACTTTCCGTCCTTTGCACACTTGAACCAATTCTTCCATTTGCACTTCAGTTCTTGAAAGTGACTTTTGTATTTAATAGAAGAATGATCATTGATCCATGAATGAACAAAACCTTGGATTACTTAGCCATATTGAATTCAAACACATTTAGATGAATACCTCAATCTCAACACCACATATGAATAACTTGATTCAGTAGACCTAAAGAGATTCTCATGTGAATTACCAGACCCGAATCTCTTGACAAACGATAGGGAAATAAACCCTAATCCATGCTCTGATGCATTTGGATGAAGAAATAGCCCTGTATACTAAAGAATAAGAAATTCAAAATAATGATGAATCAAAACCCATATTCCACGATCCAATACTTAAGAGGAAGACCAAGTGAACCAAGCCTGTTTGATGTAGGAGTCTTTAAGCCATGTGAAACCCTAATATTTAACCTCAGAGAAGAAAACCTTGTAACTTGCCGGAGAAGGAATCTATGATAACCAAACTTCAAAAACCCTAATTCATATAGTTCACTACTCAAGTATCAAATGAATCTGCCCTTATCTGATGAAGAATCCCAAACCAAAATGAAACCCTAATTTGTACCAAAAATGGATTCTTGATCTCATGCCTTATTGAATGAATGAATTTTATGCAAATGACCCAGTGAAAATGATGCATATAAAATGCAAAGCCTAAGCCAGATAGAAGTAAAATTAAGAGGGAAAATTTTGAGGTGCAACAAGAATGACTTGGCCATTCGATTGGAGTATTATGCCAATTGGTTAGATAATCAATTTGGCCCATGGAATATTTAATTTCCTTGTATTTCCAACTCCTACACAAAAGAAGCTCGCCTCCTCTTTGTCACACTTCACTTTCCAACAATTTACATTTTCTTTAGAATTTATCTCTCTATTTTATCTCTTTCTCTTTCTAGAAATATATCTATTCACTTGAGGTTACCTTAATGCTTTTGAGTAAAACTTTTATTGTAAGGAAGAACTTGTAAGTCGTTGTGTTGGTCGTTTAAATTCTTAAGAGTACGATAGTTTTGTGAGATTGATTTTGGTTCGAGAGATAAACCTATCATAAAATCTACATAGTTGGTTTCTTAAGCTTTGTAAATTTTTTTTTTTTTGTTATTGAGATAATCCGTAAATATCTAAGCGGTTCGTTAGCTTAACCTGGTTTAAAAGCTATCATTGATTGGGGATAAGCCTGCAAAAATCTCAAGATCAAATTGTATTAAGGTTCGTGGGCATAACTTGTAAAAGCTCAAAAGTTTATAGTCAAAATCTCAATAAGACCTTTTAGGGACAGAACTGAGCCAACATTCGGTTAAATATGCATAACTCTCTAGTGAAATCTATCTAACACTCACTCTCTTTATTTTCTGCTATTTACCATTTACTTAACTTAAGTTGATACTCACTCTTAAAAGAAACTACTAACACAATCTTAATCGAGAAAAGGATAAAAGTAATTGTGAGTTTTAAACATGACGACACACCCCCTCTTGTGCTCGAAGTAACCTGTCAATTAAATTTTAACCCATACCCCAACATTGATCCCTATCTCTACAATAAATTAATTTTAACCAAAATACCATGTATAAATTGTTTATTTGAAGTTTTTGGATCCATTGAGAAAGTGTGAATTTTTTTTCATAGTGAAACTCATTAAACCATGTTATCTGATCCAAATACACACTACCAGAAGTCTCTGAACCAAGTTTTCCAATCTAGAAAAATCCACCAAAAATCTTACATCAAATTTATTTGGCATATACATTGTCACTTTGAAAGTCTTGCAAGTAAGTTCTCTGGTATGTATTTTAAAATAACTCGTCAAAGAACATTGAAATAAGATATTCAACGAAGGGAAAAAGACGATCAAATGTCTTACTTCAAAGTTATCTAAGGTAAAAAAAATTTAGCCACATGATATCTTTGGTAATAAACATCCGATTTTTTTTATTACAAAATTTATTAATTTTTTTTTTGCTAATGACACGAACCTGAGGACGTGATAGTTGGATCCCATCTTGTACAGGTGTAGAACAGGGAGCTCGATAGGCGATGGATGACGAAGATGAACATGTAGGTGCATCTGCATGTACTATATAATTGTCGTAGTTTTCAGGAGCGTCGTACGATATGTCTCTTTTGATAAAGTATGAGCATCATGTTGCTCGCCTTTTATGGTACGACGAGGTAAGTAAATGACAGTAACGTTATTTTGAATAATTTTTAATTTTAATTTTACATTTAATAATATATATACTTTAAATTGATTTCAAGAGAGATGTCTGAAGATAGAACTCTAGGTTATTGCATACGATAGCAAGATTATAGGATGAGTTCCACATTGTCTCCCATCTACCATAAAAAGGTGGTTGAGTGACTGTGGTCTATATTCACTCTTGAGAAGTATTTTGTCGAGGATATACCAAAACTTAGTATCATTATTTGCAGAGAGGTGACATCCAGAGAGATCATCATTTCATATGCCATTTGGTGAGATGGCCATTACACTAGATGATATTTCTTGTCTGCTTCACCTTTCTATCAAGGTTCTTGGATCCTTCACCAAGTGTCAATGAATAAGATGTTGTTGGTCTTACTGCTTATATGTTGGGAGTGAAATTTAAGAAGGAAATAGTATAAGTATGTGCTTGTAGGGGTGTTTATTATAATCTGGAATAGATGCACACCCTATTTACACGTCATCAAGCCGCTTCTCCATAATGCATATACTGCACTACTCATATCCACCTCTGATCCATCATCTACATCTACCTCCAAGTCAAATTTCATGCTTACTTTCCTCCAATGGACAAGAACAACATCTATTGGTATCAGTATACCACAAAGTGTGTATATTCCTAACTCACAAGCACAAGATAACCCATAAGATGTTATAAGAGTGTACCCATATATTTTCATGTTGGTTCCCACTTAAATCTTCAACAATGCGTCTCAAAGCAGCTCGAGATACATATCCATGTAGATTACCATAAAATAGACTAGTGTTTGCGTGCTCAAATTCATAATTTTTTCCTCAAAAGAAGCTCTAATATTTCCCATTTGTAACTTCAAGTTGTTATTCATAACCTTTCAACATTTGGACATGTCACATATACTGTCCCTCCAAATTTTACTTTAATTTCCAATGAGCAGACTCAATCATAAAGTAAAGAAAACAAAAATCAAACCAACATATAAAGATAATACATACTATAGATACTAATGATACATATCTATTAGTCGCGGTGTTACCTAATGTAGCACTCAATTGATTTATGTTCTAACAAATTTATGCCTAATGAAGAGTCAAATACGTGTCTTTCACATAATCAATAAATTCACTACAATCAACACATGTCTGCTCAAGTTGTTGCAATCGTTGATGATATTCAACCTCATCACTAGCCCATACAACTTCCATCCATAATGTGTCTATCAACTTTTGCATGTCATTCACAACACATTTCTTGTATTTTTAACCAACATTTTTGTTGATATGAAATCGAAAAAGCAAATAAATTATCATTGGAAATACAACTAGAATTCCTTTCATCAAAGAAATATTTCTATAAGTCAAAATCACTTGTGGGCATAACTCTTCCTTAACAAAAAATTATTTTTATTTATCTAACACCCAACAAAAGTTCTTTGTCTGCTTAGATTTCATATAGGAAAATTCAACTGCAAATGACAACTTGGTTGACGTTATGCCAACTATTTCAAATAGAGCTTGTATATATTTATTTGTCTTGTACATATTGTCCACAACCAACACAATAAGAAAACTATTTAATAACTTGATTGAATCTGGGTGGACCCAAAAACTATCTCTCACAACATCTGAGTCATCTTTTCTTCTACTCTAATGAACATAACACGCATCCTCTACCGGCTTAAACAAATATTGCATCTCAATTCTAAGACCTCTTATCTCTTTTTGTAACTTACTTTTATGTTTATATATCTGCGTGATTCGAGTGAGATCTCGCTCTTTCAAGGACAACATTATGTGTGTAGGGTAAAACATGACGCTTTGTCAAATCAATAACATGTTACTGCTCATATGTGCTTAGCCGACCAACAAATGAATGAACTTCTAATATATAAAGTAAATCGGGGTTATGAAGTCCATATTTTACATCAATATTCCTTCTATAATCATCCTTCAACGATGTTGACCTAATGGACATCCGCATTTCTTAGTGTCACTTTGTGTTCCACTATCTGTTTTCTTGTATTTTTCACCTTTATCATAACGAAATATTACTTTGATGCTTCTCTCTCTCTTGTCTGTTTGAGTATCTGAACGAGTGACGATAACAATCACTTTATACTCGATTCCAACCTCCTTAATTCACCTTATCACATTTTTTCGTGTATCAAATCTTTGTGTAATTGAGAATGCACCAGTAATATATGTACACAATATATGATTTTTATTGCATATATGTAAATGGATTTCCATATCTACCACATAAAAAAAAGTTAAAAAAAGACTACCATATTACTTATCATTAAGTAATCTGATATACAAAATAGAATATACAAAATATCATTATACTAAATCATCTGATACATATCAGAAAACATAGAACATATCAATAAGTTCTTCGAAAATACAAAATATAAATAGGAAGACATAGCAATAAGTTACCCATAAAGAAAAATAACGTATCAGATGACTTCTCTCATAATTATTTGGTAAACATATGTGGGGTGCAAAATACTTCAAAATTTGAAAAACTTGAAGAAATGGTAAAAATAAAATGGTAAATTAGTTTATATGGTAAAATAACAAAATAAGAATATTTTAGAAATTGCAAGGGTGGAGAATAAATGTAAGTGTATAGGAGGTAAAGTTTGCTTAAAATATTCTAATGCCACAAGCCCAATTTATTATCTTCTGAAGAAGCCCATCAATCCATCCATTCACCAATTCATCATGAAATAAAAACAAAACACAAAATGCTGGCAGCTGCCGCTGCCGCTTTGCCCTTCTCTACTACCATTCTGAAGCAAGCTGTAGTCGCACTCAACTTCCCGGAGTTAACCGTCGTAGGAAGCAACATCGCCACAAACAACCAGGTTTTCAATCAATTAACATCTATTTATATATTCCAGTTTCCCGGCGCGGCAGCGCGTCGGAGACTCCGATTTGCGCCGCCGTAGTCGACACCGTAATCTCCCCTTTCCTAACACATCGTTGTTGTTATTGTTATTTTTGCAGAATTGAATTGACCTAGAATGGGAGTTGGACGTGAAGTCTCAATCTCACTCGATGGAGTAAGAGACAAGAACATTATGCAGCTCAAGAAGCTCAATCTTGCTCTCTTCCCTGTTCGTTACAACGATAAATACTACTCCGACGCACTTGCTTCCGCTGATTTCACCAAACTAGGTTTCTTCCTAATTCCTATCTATTTTTATCTTTTCTTTCATACTCTAAGCTATTGCACTTGATTTTCTGTTTAGTTTCTCATTTTGCAGTTCAATTTTGTAATTCAACTGCACTTTAGGTTTAGGTATTAATACCATCCATAATTAGTTAATCCTTGCTTACTATTATTAAGAATCTTTGAACATTGATTTGTTTTCCATTTTGTAATCTTCAAAGTTAGTTTATGCTCAAGTACTTGAATCAGTCATAGAAAATCCTTTTAAATTGTGGTTCATACTTTGTTTTTGTTTATTTCGATTTGCGTTTGATTTTCTTTTGTGATTGATAACGAATTTTCTGTATAAGATTTGCTATCTTCTGGTTTTTGCAATATACTTTTTGGCATTTGATTTTTGTTGGGGATTTTGATTCTGCATAAATAAAATTATGAATTCATGTCTAACTTATATAAATTATAATAAATGGTAACCCTTTTTAAGAGTTGTTAGAAGAACATAGAATACACATGATAGGACAGTTCCCTCGGTTTCTTTGGTATATGTGCAGAACTCATTCATATTGATTCTTTTCATTACTTTTCTGCTCGATTTAAGGAGGTTGTGTGAGTCCTTTTTTCTATGAAAGCTCTCTTTACTTATGGTAAAAGATCTTTCATCCACATCCCAACAAATTTGTGGAATCTTTACTTTAATCCAGGGCGAGTTGTATGCATTTTCACTTCTTCATTATACATTACATTTGTGTACTTCTGAATGTTTTTGACTTAGTTAGAACTTGGAATGCAAGCTTTACTTTAATTCAACTGGCCTGTTTGATATCTCCGTGCTTTTAGTTTGCATGATAATGTGTTTTCAGTTTGCATGATAATATCCATGATACATAGATGTGGGTGTATAAGGGACCTTTAGGTTGTGTCTAACACATTAGTTATTGTGCCTACTTTCAGCTTACTACAGTGACATTTGTGTTGGAGCAATTGCTTGCCGGCTTGAGAAGAAGGAAGGTGGATGCCAAGTTCGGGTTTACATCATGACTTTAGGTGTTTTAGCGCCTTACCGCGGACTTGGTATTGGTAAGAAACATATTTAATATATTCCCCTTGCTGTTAACTGGTTATTGAAAGTTTAATTGATCATACATATGGTCATCACTCATTTTAGTGTGCATTTCTGCCATAGTACCTTAAACACACAATAAGATCATGTTGTTGTAAGGTGCAAGCTTCATATTAGAAACATTTCATTTTACGCCTATTCATGTTCAGTGTTTCGAAATGTGCCATGTCCTTTAAGCTTTCTATCTAAGTGCTGTTAGAAATGTGACATGAAACGTTCGGTTTATGCAGGAACGAAGCTGCTGAATCATGTTCTTGATCTTTGCTCCAAGCAGAACATTTCCGAGGTTTACCTGCACGTGCAGACAAACAATGAAGAAGCCATTAACTTTTATAAGAAGTTTGAGTTTGAAATTACAGAAACTATCCAGAACTATTACACAAACATCACACCACCAGATTGCTATGTTGTCACAAGGCACATAACTGCTAGTCCAACAAAGAAATAACATCTCATGTCAGTTATTTTGGGGCAATTCATCAAAGATTGTTGCATTATTTATTGAATTTTGCCATGAATGAATGTATTACACTAAAGTTTGCCATTTTTAATGCTAGATTTTAAACAGCAAAGTTAGCCCAAAAATAGAAGCAATTGGGAATCTCTTTTCTAAGGTATTAAAGTTATTCTATCCCTATCCTCCCCCTTCCCATACCCTATCTTACAGTTTTAGGCAGAATATTATTGAATTTGGTACAAGAGTCTTTTGGGGGAAATTGCATCTTGTATTATATTCTATTACTAAATAAGTAAATATAGCTTTTGCGTCATGGTTTTAGACTTCAACAAGGTGTTTGTTTGGGGTAAATAATTTTAATTAGTCACTTATTCAATAAACATTTATTTATATATGTGCACAAAAGCTCATATTATAACATGTACACTTATTTTTTTGGGCACAAACATTTATTCATATATACACAAAAGCTCATGGCAACTATGCTTATAGGATGAATATCAAAGTTTTTCTAGCATCCTCTAAACCAAATACAGTTGAAAAATGTTTGATTACATACTCTTTCATCTAATGTCATCCTCTACCAACAGTTGAAAAATCACATACTCTTTCATCTAATGTCATCATCTATCAACACTAGAACTTAAATAGATTTGTTTTATCTATGTAAAAAATCTTGCCACAAGAACAAAATGATTTATTATCCAATCAAAATTTTGCAATTACTAAAAACAACACAAAGTTAACACTATCAAAAAGTCTTGATAAATTTTACATGTGTAAAGGGTTAAAATTATTTTAATATTTAAAATGAAGGGTTAAAATTGGAATATTTTAAAATTATAGGATTTGGGAAGTACCTGATGTAGTGCTGAGTAAAATTCTCCAAAACAAAACATGAGATTTAGTTTTCGGTGGTTGCTCGTTACACATTCTCAAACCTATAAATTTATGAAATAGATCCTCACGCCTCGTCTAAATTATATTATCCAAACACACCTTCGATACAACACACCCCTACTTTTATTTATAAGTAAGATACTGGTGTGTTTGTACGGATATTGATGTTATATGTACGTTTTTATTTGCGTTTGTATAGATATTAGTATCGTACGCAAGCTTTTATTTTTAAAATTAAATAAAAAATATTTTTTTTATCAAAATAGTTTATAATTTTTTAAAAAGAAGACATATTTTTAAAATAAAAACAAAATTATTTTACATCTATAATATATATTTTAATTTTTCATATATTATTTCTATATATAAGTGAATGCTAATTTTTTTAACTAATTATTTAATGACAAAACAAAAATATCATTTGCTAAAATTAAAAAATAAATTTGTACATATGTGATAAAATATCAAATTACTTATCTACCTATGGAAACTCCATGTCCTAATAGAAACCAATATGTGTTTTGGGATGCATTTCATCCAACAGAAGCAGTATACATTTTGATGGGAAGAATGGGTTTTAGTGGCAACTGTTAATTGCATAAGAGTAAATAAACTCTCATTGTTATTGATAATGAAAGTATGGATTTGTTTATATACAAGTTTAGTTGTGTAACTAACTTAAACAAAATGTTTAACAGTTCTAACAAACTCTAAACAAACTAACTAACTACAAGTCAATACCCTCCCTCAAGCTTAGCTGTACAAAATTTTCAAACTAAGCTTGGACAATAAAAGCTCAAACTGTGGTGTATGGAGAGCCTTTGTATGTAGATCAGCTAACTGTGCATGAGTAGGAATTGGCATGAGCTGGATGATTCCTTGTTGCACCTTGTCTCTAACCAAGTGGCAATCGATTTCAATGTGTTTCGTTCGCTCATGAAATGTGGGATTCTGAGCTATGTAGATAGTTGATAAATTGTCACAAAACAATGCCACTGGTTTCTGAATTGGTTGCTGAAGGTCCTCAAGAAGATACAATAGCCATTGTATTTCACAAACTGTAATGGCCATTGCTCGATATTCAGCCTCTGAAGAAGATCTAGAAATTGTACTCTGCTTCTTTGATTTCCAGCTAACCAAGGAAGAACCATAAAATAAATTGTACCCTGTAACTGATTTTCTGGTATCAACACAGGAGGCCCAGTCTGAATCACAAAATCTTGTAAGCTTATGAGAAGATTCAGCTGAAAAGAATAAACCTTGACCTGGTTGCAGTTTAAGATATTTCAAAATTCTCATGGCAGCTTCATGATGAACCTTCATTAGGGTAGAAAGGAATTGACTTAAGGTGCTCACAGCAAAGGACAAGTCAGGCCTGGTGTTAGTAAGATACAGTAACCTCCCAATGAGCCTTTTGTAACCTGAAATATCAGAAAAAGGTTGATCTGTGAGAGCTGGAAGCTTTGTGCCTGGCACCATTGGTGTACTAACAGGTTGACTAGCAAGTAATCCAGCTTCTTCAATCAACTCCAGAGCATATTTCCTCTGAGATAGCACCAAGCCCTCTTTAGATCTGGCTACTTCAAAGCCTAGAAAATATCTGAGATTGCCCAAGTCTTTAATTTTGAACTGATTGTCCAGAAACTGTTTTACCTTGGTAATCTCTAAATCATCACCTGTGAGTACAATGTCATCAACATAAATGAGTAAAATTGTCAAATGCTTATTATGAGATCTAACAAACAGTGAGTAATCACTCTTGGATTGCACATATCCTAAAGAAAGCAGGGAAGTTGTCAGCTTATGGTTCCACTGTCTGCTAGCCTGCTTTAAGCCATATAATGACTTTGTCAACTTGCATACTTGTGAAGGTTGAGCAGTAGCATAGCCTGGAGGTGGAAGCATATACACTTCTTCATCTAAAGTGCCATGCAAAAAGGCATTGTTAACATCTAATTGCTTTAGAAACCAGTTCTTAGATGCCGCCAGAGCCAGAACCAACCTCACAGTTGTCATCTTTACAACTGGAGAGAAAGTTTCAAAATAGTCCAATCCCTCTTGTTGTGTGTAACCCTTGGCTACCAACCTAGCTTTGAACCTCTCAACAGTACCATCTGCATGCCTCTTAATCCTGAATACCCATTTACATCCAATTGGATGTTTACCAGGTGGTAAGTCAATCATTTCCCATGTTTTGGTACTCTCAAGAGTTGCAATTTCAAGGTCCATTGCTTGCCTCCATCTCTCATCCTTTACAACTTGACTATATGTTCTAGGTTCAATAAGAGTAGAACAAGACAAAACAAAAGACTGATAGGAAGGAGAAAGGGAAGAATAAGAGAGATAATCAGAGAGAGGATAAAGAGTACCAGATGAGGAGTTAGATGATTGAGTTCCCTGTGATGAAGAATGGACTAAATGACAGTGATAATCCTGCAAGTAAGATGGTTTTGTTCTGGTTCTGGCAGATTGCCTTATAGGTTCTGGTTCAGGGACAGGTTGAGTAACAACAGGGGAAAGTGGAGGAAGATTTTGTGAATCTGATGATGGTAAAGGATCAGGGATGGACTGATTTATGTGAGTAGGTAAAGATGGAGCTTGTGGTTCAGTAGGAAGGATATGAAATAATGATTCATGTGATTCAGAAATGCCTTGATGAAAAGGAAAAATATTTTCATAAAAAATAACATTCCTAGACAAAAATATTTCTCTTGAAAGAAGATCAAGCAAAAGAAAACCTTTAACACCCTCTTTATATCCCAGCAAAACACACTTCCTGGTCCTAGCCTGAAATTTTGTTCTATGAGCTGTTATGGTAGTAGCATAACACAATGAACCAAAAACTCTTAAATGTTCCAGATCTGGTGTTTTGTCATATAAAATCATGTAGGGTGATTTGTTTGAAAGAACCCTAGTAGGTAAGAGGTTGATCAAATAAGTGGCATGCAAGACACCAAAGGACCAAAATTGAATGGACAAGTTAAAGTGAAACATCAAAGCCCTAGCAACATTCAAGATATGTTGATGCTTTCTTTCTACAATCCCATTTTGCTGTGGAGTTTCCACACAAGTTTTCTGATGTTGAATTCCATGTTTTATGTAAAATTCAGGCATGTGGAATTCAACACCATTATCTGTCCTGACTAAGTTTACTTGTTTCTGAAAATGTTTTTGTGTAAACTCAATAAACTTTTGTAAAACCAATCTAGCTTCTGATTTTAATTTCATTAATTTGATCCATGTAAAACGAGATTTGTCATCCACAATGGTAAGAAAGTATTTGGCACCAGTAATAGAAGATTGGCTATAAGGCCCCCAAATATCCACATGTAACAAATTCAATATATTTTCAGAAACAATTTTGCTTAAAGGAAAAGATAACTTTTTTTGTTTTGCAAACTGACATGAATCACAAGGATCACATTGGGATAAGGGAATGGATGGATACAATTTGTGTAATTGTTCAAAACATGTATAAGAAAGATGGCCTAACCTATGATGCCAAACATGAGGTATTTTTACAGGTAATGTATTAGATATATTGGCTGAGTGAAATGAAGCTAAAGGTTATACTTGATGAAAAGGTGGTAGAATCATGATGTAGAGTCCATTCTTGATCTCAGCTCTCCCAATCATCTTCAAGGTGATCTTGTCCTGTAAACAGCAAAAATTATCACTAAAGACAAGTCTGTTTGGTAAAGTTTTGGTGAGTTGTTGGACAGAAACAAGGTTAACATCAAAACTGGGAACATACAGGACATTATGTAAAGTTAGTGTGGAAGAAAGAATAACCGTCCCTATGCAATGTGCCATGGCACTTGCCTTATTTGGTAAGGAAACAGAAATGGGACTGATCTTATAATAAGAAACAAAGAAAGTTAGAGAACAAACAATGTGATCAGTGGCCCCAGAGTCCATGATCCATTGCATATAAAACTTACCTATGCCATTAGAAATGACATTGTGACTGCTCACAAGATGAGAAGAAAGTGAGCTAGTGGTGGGTTGAGAAGAGGGAAGCAAGGCCAATAGACTCTGAAGCTGTTCCCTTGTGAGTTCCACACCATTAGAAGATGACTGTGCTTCATCAA